GGGTAGGCGAAGAAACCGATACCGCCCAAATGGTGTATTAAAGGTGGTCAATTTGGAGCTCTCCTCATCCAGTTTGATATGCCAAAATCCAGATGAGGCATCTAAGGTACTAAAGACTGTTGCTCCCTCCAATTCAGCTGCTACTTCTTCCACGGTTTTCATGGGGTAGTGCTCTCGTTGTACTGCTTTATTCAAAGCTCTTGGGTCGAGGCAGATCCGTAGATTTCCATTCTTCTTTTCTGTAACAACAATTGAATTCACCCACTCTGAGGGCTCCGTAACTTTGGTAATGGCTCCGATTTTTCCATTCGACACAGTTCGTCTTTAAACTTGTCTTTTATAGCAAACGGTATCTTGCGTGCTGGATATACAACTGGTGGAACCGAGGGGTCTACTTTGATGTGGTAATCTCCATCGAGGCAACCAAGACCTTGGAAGACGTCCGTGTACTCATCAATTATCTTTGCCGCCTCTGTTTTCATTTCTTCTGCAGGTTGGTTAGTGCGTGGTTTACATTTAGGCTCTACCGCTGTTGACTGTGGCTCGGACGGTGGTGTACTATCTCCACACGATGCTGTATTATTATCTGGTTGATCTGTGTCATTGCTTGGGTGAACTGTAGAAATTCGTTGCACCAACCCCATTTCAAGACATGATGGTAAACCGAGGATCGGAACAGCTCCTTCTTGATCGATCACTTGAAATTCTGTGGGGTAAAATTTTTCTTTGTGCGAAATTATCACAGTATTCTTTCCAACTGTTAAAATTCTATGTCCAGAATACGATATCAACTTGGTACGCGATTTCCCCAACTTTTCTGCGGTGAGCTGTTCGTAGGTCGACAAAGGCAAGACATTACATTGTGCACCAGTGTCAAGTTTCAACTTCACTTGTGTTTCGTTGATGTCAAGGGTTATATTCCAGTCAGTTGTGTCTCCTTTCAATTCGGTGTTGACCGTTCCAATAAACAAATCATTGTCGACTTCTGGGGTCTCTTCAAGCGTGTTTACTCGCGATGATCGCTGTGACATACGACACTTTCTGGCGTAATGATTGCGTTTATGACATTTTCGACACTCTTGTCCATAAGCAGGACACTTTCGGGGCTCGTGTTTAATTCCACAATTAGGGCATTCCGAGGCCTCTACCTCTGTAGTCCGTGAGTTGGGCGGGTTTGGTCTTCGACGATCAGGTTTGTTGTTATTGTTACGCGATTCACTCTTGGCATTTATATTTTGCTGGGCTTGATCACGGCTCGATTGCGGGGTTTCCACTGCATTCACGAATTGAGCCGTTTGACTCTCAACAATACTTTTAAGATGGCTTTTACTTAGCTCGGATGTTCGGCATGTATCTACGGCCTTAGTAAGCGTCAATTCCGGGTCTCGAAGCAGCCTGGCTCTCACTTCATCGCTGTATATTCCACAGACGATGCGATCTCGAATAAGCGAGTCACGAAGTTCGCCAAACTCGCATGTTTTGGCAAGTTTCCGTAGATCAGTAACGTAACTTTCCACATTTTCGTCGCTTCGTTGATTCCTTGTGTTAAATACATGACGTTCAAAAGTTATGTTCTTTTTCGGGATACAATACGCTTGAAACTTGGATATTAAAGGCTCTATTTTATCTGTTTCCCCACTAGCGAAAGTGAATGTATTGTAGATTTCAACAGCGTCTTCGCCAGCGACTGTCAACAAGGTTGAACACTGAACTTTTTCCGGTTTTCTATCGCGACCAGTAGCATTCAAATACAGACGAAATTGTTGTATCCAGCGACGCCAATTCTCAGAGACGTTGCCTTCGAACGAAAGCGAATTTGGGGGTCGTAAAGTATCCATTTTCCTGACACCATGTAAAGTTTAATACTATTCATACGCCATAAGCACAACAACAACTTTTTAGTTACGCCCACTTGCTATTTATACATATGATGAAGTTAATATAAACTATTGCGAATAGCTAATTAGATGCTCAATCATCACACTTATGACGTCGAATATCGACGTCATAAAAACCAAAGTTGATCGCGTTTATGTCCTCGAATATCGACGTCATAAACACCAAAGTTTATCGTGTTTATGACGTCGAATATCTACGTCAGAAACACCACAGTTGATCGTGTTTATGACGTCGAATATCGACGTTATAAACACCAAAGTTGATCGTGTTTATGACGTCGAATATCGACGTAATATACACCAAAGTAGATCGTGTTTATGACGTCGAATATCGACATTATATACACCAAATTTGATCGTGATTATGACGTCGTATATCGACGTCATGAACATCAAAGTTGATCGTGTTTATGACGTCGAATATCGACGTCATATACACCAAAGTTGATCGTGTTTATGACGTCGAATATCGACGTCAAAAACACCAAAGTTGATCGTGTTTATCACTTCGAATATCGACGTCATAAACACCAAAGTTGATCGTGTTTATCACTTCGACTATCGCAGTAATAAACACCAAATTTGATCGTGTTTATGAAGTCGAATATCGACGTCATAAACACCAAAGTTGATCGTGTTTATGACGTCGAATATCGACGTCAAATACACCAAAGTTGATCGTGTTTGTCACTTCGAATATCGACGTTATAAACACCAATGTTGATCGTGTTTATGACGTCGCATATCGACGTTATATACACCAAAGTTGACCCTGTTTATGACGTCGTATATCGACGTAATAAACAACAAAGTTTTTCGTGTTTATGACGTCGAATATCGACGTCATAAACATCAAAGTTTATCGTGGTTATGACATCGAATATCGACGTCATCAACACCAAAGTTGATCGTGTTTATGACGTCGAATATCGACGTTATAAACACCAAATTTTATCGTGTTTATGACGTCGGATATCGACGTTATATACACCAAAGTTGATCGTGTTTATGACGTCGTATATCGACGTCATAAACATCAAAGTTGATCGTGTTTATGACGTCGAATATGGACGTCATCAACATCAAAGATAATCGTGTTTACAACGTCGAATATCGACGTCAAAAAGACCAAAGTTGATCGTGTTTATGATGTCGAATATCGACGTAAAAAACACCAAAGTTGATCGTGTTTATCACTTCGAATATCGACGTCATAAACACCAAAGTTGATCGTGTTTATCACTTCGAATATCGCAGTCATAAACACCAAACTTGATCGCGATTATGACGTCGAATATCGACGTCAAAAACAGCAAAGTTGATCGTGTTTATCACTTCGAATATCGACGTCATAAACACCAAAGTTGATCGTGTTTATCACTTCGAGTATCGCCGTAATAAACACCAAAGTTGATCGTGTTTATGAAGTCGAATATCGACGTCATAAACACCAAAGATGATCGTGTTTATGACGTCGAATATCGACGTCTAATACACCAAAGTTGATCGTGTTTGTCACTTCGAATATCGACGTTATAAACATCAATGTTGATCGTGTTTATGACGTCGCATATCGACGTTATATACACCAAAGTTGATCCTATTTATGACGTCGTATATCGACGTAATAAACAACAAAGTTTTTCGTGTTTATGACGTCGAATATGGACGTCATCAACATCAAAGATTATCGTGTTTACGACGTCGAATATCGACGTCAAAAACACCAAAGTTGATCGTGTTCATGACGCCGTATATCGAAGTCATAAACACCAAAGATGATCGTGTTTATCACTTCGAATATCGCCGTCATAAACACCAAAGTTGATGTTGCTTATTGTAATGTTTAATACTATTCATACGCCATAAGCACAACAACAACTTTTTAATTACGCCCACTTGCTATTTATACATATGATGAAGTTAATATAAACTATTGCGAATAGCTAATTAGATGCTCAATCATCACATCTCCCTCACACTGAGAAGGTACCTCACACTGAGGACAAGATACCTCACACTGAGGACAAGGTACATACACTGGGGACAAGGTTCCTCACGCTGAGGACAAGGTTCCTGACGCTGACGACAAGGTTCCTCGCGCTGAGCCAAGGTTCCTCACGCTGAGGACAAGGTTCCTCACGCTGAGGACAAGGTTCTTCTCGCTGAGGAAAAGGTACCTCACACTGAGGACAAGATACCTCACACTGAGGACAAGGCTTCTCACTGTGAGGACAAGGTTCCTCAAGCTGAGGGCGACGTACCTCACACTGAGTACAAGGTACCTCACACTAAGGACAACGTTCCTCATGCTGAGGACAAGGTTCCTCACGTTGAGGACAAGGTTCCTCACGCTGAGGACAAAGTACCTCACACTGAGGACAAGGTACCTCACACTGAGGACAATGTTCCTCAAGCTGAGGACAAGGTACCTCACATTGAGGACAAGGTACCTCACATTGAGGACAAGGTACCTCACACTGGGGACAACGTTCCTCACGCTGAGGACAAGGTTCCTCACGCTGACGACAAGGTTCCTCGCGCTGAGCCAAGGTTCCTCACGCTGAGCACTAGGTTCCTAACACTGAGTACAAGGTTCCTCTCGGCGAAGAGAAGGTTCGTCACGCTGAGGTCAAGGTTCCTCTAGCTGAGGACAAGGTTCCTCACCCTGAGGACAAGGTTCCTCACGCTGAGAACAAGTTTCCTGACGGTAAGGACAAGGTTCCTCACCCTGAGCACTAGGTTCCTAACGCTGAGGACAAAGTTCCTCGCGCTGAGGACAAGGTTCGTCACGCTGAAGACAAGGTTCCTGACGCTGAAGACAAGATACCTCACACTGAGGACAAGGTTTCTCACTCTGAGGACAAGGTTCCTCAAGCTGAGGGCAAGGTACTTCACACTGAACAGAAGGTACCTCACACTGAGGACAACGTTCCTGACGCTGAGGACAAGGTTCCTCACGCTGAGGACAAGGTTCCTCACGCTGAGGACAAGGTACCTCACACTGAGGACAATGTTCCTCAAGCTAAGGACAAGGTACCTCACATTGAGGACAAGGTACCTCACATTGAGGACAAGGTACCTCACACTGGGGACAACGTTCCTCACGCTGAGGACGAGGTTCCTCACGCTGACGACAAGGTTCCTCGCGCTGAGCCAAGGTTCCTCACGCTGAGCACTAGGTTCCTAACACTGAGTACAAGGTTCCTCTCGGCGAAGACAAGGTTCGTCACGCTGAGGTCAAGGTTCCTCTAGCTGAGGACAAGGTTCCTCACCCTGAGGACAAGGTTCCTCACGCTGAGAACAAGTTCCCTCACGGTAAGGACAAGGTTCCTCACCCTGAGCACTAGGTTCCTAACGCTGAGGACAAAGTTCCTCGCGCTGAGGACAAGGTTCGTCACGCTGAAGACAAGGTTCCTCACGCTGAAGACAAGATACCTCACACTGAGGACAAGGTTTCTCACTCTGAGGACAAGGTTCCTCAAGCTGAGGGCAAGGTTCTTCACACTGAACAGAAGGTACCTCACACTGAGGACAACGTTCCTGACGCTGAGGACAAGGTTCTTCACGCTGAGGACAAGTTTCCTCACGGTGAGGACAAGGTTCCTCAAGGTGAGGACAAGGTTGCTCACGCTGAGGACAAGGTTCCTCACGCTGAGGACAAGGTTCCTCACGCTGAAGACAAGATTCCTCACGCTGAGGACAAGCTATTTCACGCTGAGGAAAAGGTACCTCACCTTCAGGACAAGGTTCCTCACGCTGACGACAAGGTACCTGACGCTCAGGACAAGGTTCCTCACGCTCAGGACAAGGTACCTCACACTGGGGACAAGGTTTTTCACGCTGAGGACAAGGTTCCTCACGCTGACGACAAGGTTCCTCACGCTGAGGACAAGGTTCCACACTGTGAGGACAACGTTCCTCATGCTGAGGACAAGGTACCTCACACTGAGGACAAGGTACCTCACACTGAGGTCAAGGTTCCTGACGCTGAGGACAAGGATCCTCACGCTGAGGACAAGGTTCCTCTTGCTGAGGACAAGGTACCTCACACTGAGGACAAGATACCTCACACTGAGGACAAGGTACCTCACACTGAGCATAAGGTCCCTCAAGCTGAAGACAAGGTACCTCACATTGAGGACAAGGTACCCCACGCTGAGGACAAGGTTCCTCACGCTGAGGACAAGGATCCTCACCCTGAGGACAAGGTTCCACACGCTGAGGGCAAGGTTCCTCCCGCTGGGGACAAGGTTCCTCACGCTGAGGACAAGGTACCTCACACTGAGGACAAGGTATTTCACGCCATAGTTTATGTAAGGGGGAGCATGGTTAGGAAACGCGGCAAACTTCAAAGACGGATGTTTATTTCGCGCTTTTTAAGTCACATGACCAAAGTCCGTGCACACAAATAGGTAATATAATATACGCTTGTACAGAATTGGACTAGTCATGGTGACATAAATCGGTATAAAGTTTCATCTGGGAAATGCCAGGCGATAATTGCGCTGTGATGGTTGTGGGACGTGTCGAAGAACTAGAGGTATCGGTATTTTTAAACTCGCATCGCCTAAGAACGAGGAATATAGGGAATGGAGATCACAGTGGTTAAACGAACTCACTAAAACAAGAGTAATTGACAAGAATTTTCGAGCGCAGATTGACAACGACAAGGTATTTACTTGTGAAAAACATTTTAAAGAAGAAGACATCGAAACGTGTAAGTGCCATGTTATAAATAATTCTGGTATACGAGCTCTTGTAGTCCCGAATATTATAAAAACAATGGCACTTAAACTAAAGACAATCTACATATTGACCGTCGAGTCACGCACTACAAAGTATCAAATATTTGATTTATTAAATGTTGCAATGGCATATTTATTAAATGTAGTCACTAGTGAGCAAACTTTTTAAATAATATATAGTTCTTTATAGTTTTTGAGACGGTATGAGCGAATCAAGTTCTATCTAAAATGGCCTAAAATGTGACTTGATCAAAAGTGTATAAACTATAAAGTATAAAATGTGTCGTGCTGATGCATCATTTTACAAAGTAATACACACGTTATTATATTATTTTGATTTCTACTCAGTAATACACACGTCTTGATGTGATTCGTATTTTATAATAATAATTTAATAATAAGACAATCACAAACAATCGTAACACTAACAGACTATACATATCTATAATTACAGTAATACATAACATACATTAATTCCCTTTGAACTATTTTAAACTATTTAATTAAGGTACTATAAAACAATGTTAAAACATCGAAGCAGAATTTCTTTACAATTTCTTTGTCCTGCATGAATTGAGGTAAATATTGCTTGATTGTGCATTAATATTAAAATGTTGCTTGATTGTGCATTAAACGTTTCGAGTGAGTTATTAATATAGTGAGTATTTGTAACGCAATTAAAATTCATTTAATTTTACACAACAGGTATTTATAATTTTAATTCATAACACAGACAAGGTAGTGGTGTAGCATGAGGGAGGCAGAATTCCTTGCCCCAAATGGTCTCAAAACTGTTCTCATAAAAAGTCAATATCTGGGGAGAAATTGTGTGTGGGATATATATTCTGATATACTCCAAATAATTATAATAAAACTCATCTCAGAAGAATGCAGGAAATTACGTTTCAGAGACCCTAGAAATCAAAATTTTCCTGGGGCAGCATGCCCCCAGACTGCTTGCGCCTTTGGCATGTTGAAAATATTATTTTGTATGATTTTGCCTCCCCCAAATTTCAGACCCTGGATACGCCACTGAAAGAAGGTCCAAAATTATACAACTATTATTTATATATTTTTTGCAAGCCATATATCAACTTTGTTAATAGTGAGCTGGATATTCTGTAAAGCCTTTATTGTTACAGTATAAAAGATCATGTAATATAATTGAATTGGCATTTCAATTTTTCTATGTAGCAGAGTATAGTCAGGGTGTTAGCCAGAAGTAAAAAAAAATCCCTGTTAAGCTGAAATTGGGAAATTTATTTTAGCCTGAAGCCGGGCATTTCTTTGTGGGGGGGGGGGTCTGGGGGCATACGGTTTGCCCCCTCTGGATTTAAAAATTTTTCGTGTCTTTGAAATGGCATGTCCCGCATTTTGGGAGTAATTTTGAGCAAACGTAGTTAATATAAACATGTTTTTAATGGCATATTAATGAAGTTTAATATGTTGAAATAACTGGCATCCAAACCTCAGTTTGAAAATAACCCAAGAAAAACAGAAAACACACAGCAGACAGGTTTTTCTGGCATATATTATGGGCAAGGAAGTGCTCGAACGGTCTAGAGGCTCTCGTTAACCTACGTTTTACCTAGACGAACAGGCAGACCTCTAGATTGCAGAGGGAGTGACGCGGCTCTGTGCATGTTGTTCAGCGACATATGAGTCCTGATGGTCTGGGGACCACCATTGGTATACTGAGACAGTATGGGTACTCAAGACCTGACAGAGCATGCAAAAACTGTAGGTTTTTCTAGAGGAACATGTGAACCTCTAGATAACAGGTGAACAGGCGAACCCCCGTTCAGGTCAGTCAGCTCGTTGATGTTGAGTACTAGTTGAACTTGTGAACAACTGATGGTAGCTCAACTGAAATGACTTACCCATCGAGTCTCTAGGTCAGGTCATTAGGTCGCACTGCGACCTGAATGACCTGTAAAAATACACTTCACGTGGCGAAGTGTTGTCCAAAAGGACAGCACTTCCGTGCCATTAATGACGATCTGTACATAGTACAGATTGTTATTTCAGCCACGGGAAGCCGAGCCGAATTAAGCATTATGCATATTTATTAATATGCGCAGAAGCAGAGGAGCGTTCGCCAGGCAAGAGATTAATTAATGGAAAATAACTTTAATTAATCTTATTAAATAGCTCGTGATGTGATGCAGTTTTTCGAGTTATCCTAAGTAAATACTGCTAGCCATAATGTGTACGCTTGGGTAAATTAACGAAAGATAAAATGAAGTCCCGTGTACAAGCCACTGTATGTACAGTTAGTGTAACAAAATAAACATCTGCACAAAGAAAACATTTAATTAACGTGCTGCAGCTGCTACAGTATAACCTCTTTAGTTGGGATTTCTTCGAGGTCTATTTAAGTATATCATGAACATCTCATTTAACTAGGACAAACCGTACGTCCTTATAACTAGGATAAACCGTCCTTATAACTAGGATAAACCGTCCTGATAACTAGGTTAAACCGTCCTTATAACTAGGATAAACCGTCCTTTATATAACAAGGATAAAAAAAAAACAACCCACATCGTACTGGGTGTAATTTTTTGTAGTTGAATACAATGTTCGTACGACTGGCATAAATTGATACAAAGTAGGCTATCAATAGCAGCTAGAAATGTGTTAAGACTTGTGCACAGGAAGATAGCCTCATGGGACCGGGGCTAATATATATACCAGAGGGTGTATACAATTTAAGTACGAGTAGAAAGTAGCAGTACAAGATGGCTGTAATACAGCTGTTATGACATACAAGGAAAACCCGTCATGCTACTGAGTGAAACTGTTTTGTTTGAGTCAATGCGCCAAAATAGTTCCCGCCTGAGCGAATAGTGGATGCGACACGAGTTCGAATACAAGCAAGGGGAATGAATGGAGAGTTGTGTAATGTATCAAACCACATCTATTGATCTACATATGCAGTTAAATTACGTGTTGTTTGTATGGTATTATTCGACGTAGCAAGATCATGCAACTAGAGATAATATAAGATAGCACGTAACCTGGGGTAAGCGCGAATGCATAGCCTACGAATACTGTACAATACAAAATGCGACTCATGCATGACACAGGACCAGATCGAGTAACATATGGTTACATAGTACTAGTGTAGCCTAACAGCAGTAAATTCAAGAACTTATATTAGGGATGTAAATAAACAATATGGAACGAACTCACTCCATTTGAGGTCCCAGAATGTGGATTACAAGCTGCGGCAATATTCTGGTTCTGGAACACCGCATGCACGGCCGGCTTGGGATCTTGTGCATCTCAGGATAACTGTGAGTCTTTACCGTCCTTGTTCTTCTGATCTTGCTCATTACTGTTGCCATTTGTTCGAAGATTGGTGGTCGAATTCGAATCGGAGAGCAAAACGGTTCTCTTTACTTTGTCTTTTTTTTTGTATACCAGGTTTTGGTAGCTTAAGCTCTGGTTAGAATATTGCGAATGAGGCGTGAAGCATATAGCCTGTAACTAAATGTCTTTCACTAAGAATGGGGCCACTGTATTGTTGCGACGGATATATGTAAGAAGAGTTGATTGATTAAACCCAAGTGCATGACGTGTTCACGTGCTGTTGCCAAGGTTCAATCTCTTTTGGCAGCATGATTAGAAAGTAATGCCTTGTTTTCTAAGTGCAGTAGTTTTGATGACAGATTGGCATTTCCATAAGGCAAATAGAGTCTTCTTTGACATATTACTTCATTAACCACAATTTATTGCGTTGCATAAATTGCATATTTATGACATATAAGGAAAACCGTCATGCTACTGAGTGCAACTGTTTAGTTTTGGTCAATGCGCCAAAATAGTTCCCGCCTGAGCGAATAGTGGATGCGACGCGAGTGCGAATACAAGCAAGGGGAATGAATGGAGAGTTGTATCCAACCACATCTATTGATCTACATATGCAGTTAAATTACGTGTTGTTTGTAATGGTATTACTCGACGTAGCAAGAGCATGCAACGGGAGATAATAGGATAGCACGTAACCTGGGGTAAGCGCGCATGCATAGCCTACGAATACAATACAAAATGTGACCCATGCATGACAGCAGGACCAGAGTAACATATGGTTATATAGTACTAGTGTAACAGCAGTAAATTCAAGAACGTTATATTAGGGTAGTAAATAAACAATATGGAACGAACTCACTCCGTTTGAGGTCCCAGAACGTGGATTACAAGCGGCAGCAATATTCTGGTTCTGGAACACTGCATGCATGGCCAGCATGGGATCTTGTGCATCTCAGGATAACTGTGCCGTCCTTGTTCTTCTGATCTTGCGCACTACTTTTGCCATTTGTTCTAAGATTGGTGGTCGAATCGGAGAGCAAAACGGTTCTCTTTACTTTTCCTTTTTTTTTGTATACCAGGTTTTGGTAGCTTACGCTCTGGTTAAAATATTGCGAATGAGGCGTGAAGCATATAGCCTGTAACTAAATGTCTTTCACTCAGAATGGGGCCATTGTATTGTTGCGACGGACATATTTAAGAAGAATTGATTGATTAAACCCAAGTGCATCACTTGTTCACGTGCTGTTGCCAAGGTTCAATCTCTTTTGGTAGCATGATTATAAAGTAATGCCTTGTTTTCCAAGTGCAGTAGTTTTGATGACAGATTGGCATTTCCATAAGGCAAATAGAGTCTTCTTTGACATATTAGTTCATTAACCACAATTTATTGCGTTGCATAAATTGTATGTTTAACAACAATGAATTTCTATAAATATTTTTTGGCTGACCCAAATTGGGAAATTGCGACCTCAAGGTAATTGGGAAAACCGTGTTTAACACGGAATTTTTGACTGTAGCTAACACCCTGATAGTTTAAACAGTACAGAAATGCAAATGTTTGTTTATTAGTGAAACTAAAATAGACTTGTTCTTTTGGTAGTTGTGACTGAGAAAATGACAAAAAAGAAGCCAGTTTTTGGAGCTTTACCACTGCTTAATATGCCAAGTCGACTCCATGATCAAGAGAACATCCCCCCCCCCCAGACGCCCTTTGCATCGAGTACAAGCTCCGGTTAGCTGTCAGAAGTTTCACTCACTTACAGAGGTTCAAAAGCAAGTTTTGAAATTAAAAGAATTAAAAAGAAACTGGAATGTTGTAACATTGGATGATAGAATAACAATGCAAAAGATGAAATTGCCATATCTTTTGCCTGAGTATGAAATTGTGATCGATGACAGTCTTGGATTCACCCTGACTGTGTTTCATTGGCTTTTACCAGAAAATCATGAACTATACAAAAAAACATCATAGGTCAGTAAAACAAGTCAGCATTCAGCAGTTGATTGAAGAGATAATGGGTTATACCTTATGTAATGGAATAACCAATGGAATGCAAGAATAATATAGAGCACCATGTCATTCCGAAATCACATGATCCATTATGGGATGAGGATAATGAAGTAAAAGCTAGCAAGTCCTACCGAGTCCTGTCAGCCATGCACAGTTGTTTCTTCTGCTCAAGTAAATACACAGAAGAATATCAGGAATAGAGTGGTGACAGCAGCTAAACTGAAAGCTCCCATTTCCAAGACAGCGCCTGAAAGAATAAAGCTAGCCCTGCTAAACTGGAAAAAATTGGAAGAAATGAAGATAGAAATAGAAAACGCAAGCATAGCAGTTGACGATGAAATGAGCAAAGATGTTGTAAGCATGTTGTCAAAGATTAGCAACAAGGAAATGACACCATTCATGCAATTATTTTGGCAACAACAGAAAAAATGCTGCAAGGAAGTACCAATAAAGGAATTCGCTACCATCCAATGATAATTCGCTTTTGTCTGTCTCTGGCCAGCCAATCTTCATCTTGCTATGAAGAGCTTATAAACAGTGGAGTTCTTGTTCTACCAAGTCAAAGAACACTTAGAGAATATAGAAATGCTATCAAACCAAAGGTTGGATTTAATGCTGAAGTAATCAAAGATTTAATTGCTTTAACCACAACCTACTTCAACACTCAAAGGTATGTTGTGTTACTTTTGATGAGATGACTGTTAAATCCAATCTTGTCTTCAGCAAGGAATCTGGTGAACTAATCGGTTTTACAGACCTTGGTGATCCTGAAGTCAATTACAACACCTTGGAAAAGTGTGATGATCTTGCTACGCATGCTTTAGTGTTTCTTCTCAGAGGTGTTTGCACCAATCTTAAGTTTGCATTGGCCCATTTTGCAACAACTGATATAAGATGTGAACAGATTCTTCCTGTGTTTTGGGAAGCTGTTTACATCTTAGAAGTTACTTGCAACTTGTGGGTCATTGCTGCAACTTCAGATGGTGCTTCACCAAATCGCGCATTCTATCGCATGCACAAAGGTCTTCAAGGTGATTCTGGCAAAGATGTTTGCTACAGAACTATCAATCTATATGCAAAATATAGATACATTTTTTTTTGTGATGCTCCACATCTTGTTAAGACAGCAAGGAACTGCCTATCTCATTCCCGCAGTGGAGGTTCTCGATACATGTGGAACGATGGTATGTACATCATCTGGGAGCATATTTGCCAGCTCTACTATCAGGATATTGACAATGGTCTGAAATTATTGCCACGCCTCACTAACGATCACGTTCACTTGTCATCTTATGGTGTAATGAGAGTAAAATTAGCTACCCAAGTATTAAGTGCTTCTGTTGCAGCAGTACTCAAAGAGTTTGGGCCTCCAGAAGCAGCAGGGACTGCTAAATTTGCACTAATGATGGACAAGTTTTTTGACTGCCTTAATGTAAGAAGTGACAGTGAGCACAAAATTAAACGAAAGCCTTACCTTGCTCCTTACACGTCACTGGTTGATGAAAGATTTTCGTGGTTAGAAAATGAGTTTCTTTCATACTTTAAAGCATGGAAGAAAAGTACAACTGATCGTGTTGGCAATTTCACTCCAAATGCAAGGAGCAAGATGTTTATCTCTTGGCAGACCCATGAAGGTTTACAAATCACCACTTTGGCTTCAATTCAGGTAACCAAATTCTTGCTAACTGAACGCCTTGATTTTGTGCTAACTGAACGATTCTGCCAGGATCCTGTGGAGGAATACTTTGGAAATCGGCGAAAATTGGGCCGTCGATCCGACAACCCAGATATGTTTAGCTTTGGATACAACACAAACACACTACGAATCCAAAAAGAGCTTCCCTGACCAGTGGCAACATGAGAGGGCGAAAGGACAAAAGAAAGTCTTGGGAAAACGTTTCAAAAGATGTTGTGCCCAAACGAAAGGTACTGCGTACTAAAAATACTAAATAAAAACACAGACTTGTTGAAGGCTGGTTACATTGTACAACGTATCATGTTCATATTTAATTTTGATGTGTATTATATTTAATACAATGTTATGCAATATGAAGGGTGAAATATAAAAATATATTTGTTGCTTAATCTCATTAATTATACTCTTGTACTGTATAATGTAATGCAGGCATTTTGTCTTCGGCACGCATAAATATATCTTTTTGTGAATTTATGAGAAAAATAATATATTTTGCCACAATTAAAATTCGGCGATTCAAACAGATGTATGTGCATTATTCCTCGATTTTGCACAGAATGGATCACCACAGGATCCTTGTCCTCACAGCCAGGAACCTTGTCCTTACAGTCAAGAACCTTGTCCTCACCGCCAGGAACCTTGTCCTCACCGCCAGGAACCTTCTGCTCACCGCCAGGAACCTTCTCCTCACCGCCAGGAACCTTGTCCTAACCGCCAGGAACCTTCTCCTCACCGCCAGGAACCTTGTCCTAACCGCCAGGAACCTTGTCCTCACCACCACGAACCTTGTCCTAACCGCCAGGAACCTTGTCCTCACCACCAGGAACCTTGTCCTCACCGCCAGGAAACTTGTCGTCACCGCCAGGAACCTTGTCCTCACCGCCAGCAGCCTTGTCCTCACCGCCAGGAACCTTGTCCTAACCGCCTGGAACCTTGTCCTCACCGCCAGGAAACTTGTCCTCACAGCAAGGTCCTTGTCCTCACCGCCAGGAACCTTATCCTCACCGCCAGGAACCTTGTTCTCACCGCCGGCAACCTTGTCCTCACCACCAGTAACCTTGTCCTCACCGCCAGGAACCTTGTCCTCACCCCCAGGAACCTTGTCCTCACAGCAGGATCCTTGTCCTCACCGCCAAGAACCTTGTCCTCACCACCAGGAACCTTGTCCTCACCGCCAGCAACCTTGTCCTCACCGCCAGGAACCTTGTCCTCACCGCCAGGAACCTTGTACTCATGGTGAGGGACGTTGTCCTCAGCTTGAGGTACCTTGTCCTCAGTGTGACTTAATTTTCCTCAGCTTGAGGAACCTTGTCCTCATCGTGAGGAAACTTGTCCTCAGCGTGAGGAACCTTGTCCTCAGTGTGAGGTACCATGTCCTCAGCATGAGGAACCTTGTCCTCAGCATGAAGAACCTTGTCCTCAGCGTGAGTAATCTTGTCCTCAGTGTGAGGTACCTTGTCCTCAGTGTGTGCTACCTTGTCCTCAGTGTGAGGTACCTTGTCCTCAGTGTGAGGTACCTTGTTCCCAGTGTGATGTACCTTGTCCTCAGCATAAGGAACCTTGTCCGCAGCGTGAGGAACCTTGTCCTCAGCGTGACGAACCTTCTCCTCAGCGTGAGGAAACTTGTGCTTAGCTTGAGGAACCTTGGCCTCAGCGTGAGGAACCTTGTCCTCAGTGTGAGGAACCTTGTCCTCAGCGTGAGGAACCTTGTCCTCACCGTGAGGAACCTTATCCTCACAGTGTGAGGAACTTTGTCCTCGGTGTGAGGTAGCATGTCCTCAGCATGAGGAACCTTGTCCTCAGTGTGAGGTACCTTGTCCACAGTGCCAGGTTCCTTGTCCACGGCGTGATGAACCTTGTCCTCAGCGTGTGGGACCTTGTCTTCAGCGTGGGGAAGCTTGTCTTCAGCGTGAGGAGCCTTGTCCTCAGCGTGAGGATCCTTGTCCTCATCGTGAGGAACCTTGTCCTCAGTGTGAGGTACCTTGTCCTCAGTGTGAGGTACCTTGTCCTCAGTGTGAGGTACCTTGTCCTCAGTGTGACGTACCTTGTCCACAGCGTGAGGTACCTTGTCCACAGCGTGAGGTACCTTGTCCGCAGCGTGAGGAACCTTGTCCTCAGAGTGAGGAACCTTCTCCTCAGCGTGACGAACCTTGTCCTCAGCTTGAGGGACCTTGTTCTCAGCGTGAGAAACCTTGTCATCATCGTGAGGACCCTTGTCCACAGCGTGAAGAACCTTGTCCTCAGCGTGAGGAACCTTGTCCTCAGCGTGAGCAATCTTGTCCTCAGTGTGAGGAACCTTGTCCTCAGCATAAGGGACCGTGTCCTCACCATGAGGAACCTTGTCCTCAGGGTGAGGGAACTTGTCCTCAGTGTGAGGTACCTTGTCCACAGCGTGAGGTACCTTGTCCGCAGCGTGAGGAACCTTGTCCTCAGCGTGAGGACCATTGTCCTCAGCGTGAGCAACCTTGTCCTCAGTGTGAAGTACCTTGTCCTCAGTGTGAGGTACCTTGTCCTCAGTGTGAGGTACCTTGTCCTCAGTGTGACGTACCTTGTCCACAGCGTGAGGTACCTTGTCCACAGCGTGAGGTACCTTGTCCGCAGCGTGAGGAACCTTGTCCTCAGAGTGAGGACCTTCTCCTCAGCGTGACGAATCTTGTCCTCAGCTTGACGGACCTTGTTCTCAGCGTGAGAAACCTTGTCCTCATCGTGAGGACCCTTGTCCACAGCGTGAAGAACCTTGTCCTCAGCGTGAGGAACCTTGTCCTCAGCGTGAGGAATCTTGTCCTCAGTGTGAGGAACCTTGTCTTCAGCATAAGGGACCGTGTCCTCACCATGAGGAACCTTGTCCTCAGGGTGAGGGAACTTGTCCTCAGTGTGAGGTACCTTGTCCACAGCGTGAGGTACCTTGTCCGCAGCGTGAGGAACCTTGTCCTCAGCGTGAGGACCATTGTCCTCAGCGTGAGCAACCTTGTCCTCAGTGTGAAGTACCTTGTCCTCAGTGTGAGGTACCTTGTCCTCAGTGTGAGGTACCTTGTCCTCAGTGTGACGTACCTTGTCCACAGCGTGAGGTACCTTGTCCACAGCGTGAGGAACCTTGTTCACAGCGTGAAGAACCTTGTCCTCAGCGTGAGGAACCTTGTCCTCAGCGTGAGGAACCTTGTTCACAGCGTGAAGAACCTTGTCCTCAGCGTAAGGAACCTTGTCCTCAGCGTGAGGAAGCTTGTGCTCAGCGTGAGGAACCTTGTCCACAGCGTGAGGAACCTTGTCCTCAGCGTGAGGAACCTTGTCCTAGCGTGAGGAACCTTGTCCTCAGCGTGAGGAACCTTGTCTCCTGCGTGAGGAACCTTGTCCTCAGAGTGAGGAACCCTGTGCTCAGCGTGAGGAACTTTGTCCTCAGTGTGAGGAACCTTGTCCTCAGTGTGAGGTACCTTGTCCTCAGCGTTAGCTACCTTGTCCTCAGTGTGAGGTACCTTGTCCTCAGCATAAGGAACCTTGTCCGCAGCGTGAGGAACCTTGTCCTCAGCGTGACGAACCTTCTCCTCAGCTTGAGGAACCTTGTGCTCAGCTTGAGGAACCTTGGCCTCACCGTGAGGAACCTTGTCCTCAGTGTGAGGTACCTTGTCCTCAATGTGAGATATCTTGTCCTCAGCCTGAGGTACCTTGTCCTCAGCGTGAGGAACCTTGTTCTCACCGTGAGGAACCTTGCCTTCAGCGTGAGGAACCTTGTCCTCAGAGTGAGGTAGCATCTCCTCAGCATGAGGAACCTTGTCCTCAGTGTGAGGTACCTTGTCCACAGTGCGAGGTTCCTTGTCCTCAGCGTGAGGTACCTTGTACTCATCGTGAGGAACCTTGTCGTCAGCGTGAGGAACCTTGTCTCCAGCGTGAGGAACCTTGTCCTCAGCGTGAGGAACCTTGTCCTCAGAGTGAGGAACCCTGTCCTCAGTGTGAGGAACCTTGTCCTCAGTGTGAGGTACCTTGTCCTCTGTGTGAGGTGCCTTGTCCTCAGCTTGAGGAACCTTGTCCTAGCGTGAGGAACCTTGTGCTCAGCGTGAGGAACCTTGTCTCCTGCGTGAGGAACCTTGTCCTCAGCGTGAGGAACCTTGTCCTCAGAGTGAGGAACCCTGTGCTCAGCGTGAGGAACCTTGTCCTCAGCGTGAAGAACCTTGTCCTCAGCGTGAGGAACCTTGTCCTCAGCGTGAGGAACCTTGTCCCCAGTGTGAGGTACCTTGTCCTCAATGTGAGGTACCTTGTCCTCAATGTAAAGAACCTTGTCCTCAGAGTGAGGACCCTGTCCTCAGCGTGAGGAACCTTGTCCTCAGTGTGAGGATCCTTGTCCTCAGTGTGAGGTAGCTTGTCCTTTGTGTGAGGTACCTTTTCCTCAGCGTGAGGAACCTTGTCCTCAGTGTGACGTACATTTTCCTCAGCGTGAGGAACCCTGTCCTCAATATGAGGAACCTCGTCCTCAGTGTGAGGAACCTTGTCCTCAGCGTGAGGAACCTTGTCCTCAGGGTGAGGAACGTTGTCCTCAGTGTGAGGTACCTTGTCCTCAATGTGAGGTACCTTGTCCTCAATGTGAGGAACCTTGTCCTCAGGGTGAGGAACCTTGTCCTCAGCATAAGGAACCGTGTCCTCACCATGAGGAACCAAGGTTCCTCACACAGAGGACAAGGTACCTCACACTGAGGACAAGGTTCCTCACCCTTAGGACAAGTCCTCAGCGTGAGGAACCTTGTCCTCAGTGTGACGTACCTTGTCCTCAGCGTGAGGAACCCTGTCCTCAATATGAGGAACCTTGTCCTCAGTGTGAGGAACCTTGTCGTCAGCGTGAGGCACCTTGTCCTCAGTGTGAAGTGCCTTGTCCTCAGTGTGAGGTACCTTGTCCTCAGCGTGAGGAACCTTGTCCTCAGCGTGAGGAACGTTGTCCTCTGTGTGAGGTACCTTGTCCTCAGTGTGAGGTACGTTGTCCTCTGCGTGAGGTACGTTGTCCTCAGCTTGAGGAACCTTGTCCTCAGTGTGAGGTACCTTCTCCGCAGGGTGAGGAACCTTGTCCTCAGAATGACGAACCTTATCCTCAGCTTGAGGAACCTTGTCCTCAGCGTGAGGAACCTTGTCCTCAGCGTGAGGAACCTTGTCCTCAGTGTGAGGTACCTTGTCGTCAATGTGAGATACTTTGTTCTCAGTTTGAGGAACCTTGTCGTCAGTGTGAGGTAACTTGTCCTCAGCGTGAGTAACCTTGTCCTCATTGTGAGGAACCTTGTCCTCAGCGTGAGGAACCTTGTCCTCAGTGTGAGGTACCATGTCCTCAGCATGAGGAGCCTTGTCCTCAGTGTGAGGTACCTTATCCTCACCGTGAGGAACCTTGTCCTCAGCTTGAGGGACTTTGTCCACAGCGTGAGGTACCTTGTCCTCAGTGTGACGTACGTTGTCCTCAGCTTGAAGAACCTTGTCCTCAGCGTATGGAACCTTTTCCTTAGTGTGAGGAACTTTGTCCTCAGGGTGAGGTTCCTTTTCCTCAGTATGAGGTACCTTGTACTCAGCGTGAGGAACCTTGTTCTCAGCTTGAGGGACATTGTCCATAGTGTGAGGTGCCTTGTCCACAGTGTGACTTCCCTTGTCCTCAGCATGAGGAACCTTGTCCTCAGTATGAGGTACCTTGTCCTCAATGTGAGGTACCTTGTCCTCAGCTTAGGAACTTTGTCCTCAGTGTGAGGTACCTTGTCCTCAGCGTGAGGAACCTTGTCCTCAGCGTGAGGAACCTTGTGCTCAGCGTGAGGAACCTTGTACTTAGTGTGAGGTACCATGTTCTCAGCATGAGGAACCTTGTCCTCAGTGTGAGGTACCTTGATCTCAGTGTGAGGTTCCTCGTCCTCAGTGTGAGGTACCTTGTCCTCATCGTGAGGAACCTTGTCCTCAGCTTGAGCGACATTGTCCACAGTGTGAGGTACCTTGACCTCAGCCTGAGGTTCCTTGTCCTCAGTGTGAGGTACCTTGTCCTCATCGTGAGGAACCATGTCCTCAGCTTGAAGAACCTTGTCCTCATCGTGAGGAACTTTGTCTCCAGCGTGAGGTACCTTGTCCGCAGCTGGAGGAACCTTGTCCTCAGCGTTAGGAACCTTGTCCTCAGCGTGAGGACCCTTGTCCTCAGCGTGAGGAACCTTGTCCTCAGCGTGAGGAACCTTGTCCTCAGCGTGAGGAAACTTGTCCTCAGTGTGAGGTAGCTTTTACTCAATGTGAGGTACCTTGTCCTCAGCTTGAGGAACCTTCTCCACAGCGTGAAGAACCTTGTCCTCAGCGTGAGGAACCTTGTCCTCAGCGTGAGGAACCTTGTACTCAGCGTGTGGAACCTTGTCCACAGCGTGAAGAACCTGTGCCTCAGTGTGAGGAATCTTGTGCTCCGCGTGAGGAACCTTGTCCTCCGCGTGAGGAACCTTGTCCACAGCGTGAGGAACCTTGTCCTCAGCGTGAGGAACCTTGTCCTCAGCGTGAGGAACTTTGTCCTCAGCGTGAGGAACTTTGTCTCCAGCGTGAGGAACCTTGTCCTCAGCGTGAGGAACCTTGTCCTCAGCGTGAGGAAGTTTGTCTCCAGCGTGCGGAACCTTGTCCTCAGCGTGAGGAACCTTGTCCTCAGCGTGAGGAACCCTGTCTTCAGCGCGAGGAACCTTGTTCTCAGTGTGAGGAACCTTGTCGTCAGCGGGAGGAACCTTGTTCTCAGGGTGAGGATCCTTGTCCTCAGCATAAGGAACCGTGTCCTCACCATGAGGAACCAAGGTTGCTCCCACAAAGGACAAGGTACCTCACACTGAGGACAAGGTTCCTCACCATGAGGACAAGTCCTCAGCGTGAGGAATCTCGTCCTCAGCGTGAGGAACCTCGTCCTCAGTGTGAGGTACCTTGTCCTCAGCGTGAGGAACCTTGTCCTCAGCGTGAGGAACCTTGTCCTCAGCGTGAGAAACCTTGTCCTCACCGTGAGGAACCTTGTCCTCAGCGTAAGGAACCTTATCTTCAGGGTGAGAAACCTTGTCCTCAGTGTGAGGTACCTTGTCTACAGCGTGCGATACCTTGCGCGCAGCGTGAGGAACCTTGTCCTCAGCGTGAGGAACCTTGTCCTCAGCGTGAGGAACCTTGTCCTCACCACGAGGAACCTTGTCCTCAGGGTGAGGAACCTTGTCGTCAGTGTGACGTACCTTGTCCGCAGCGTGAAGAACCTTGTCCTCAGCGTGAGGAAACTTGTCCTCAGCGTGAGGAACCTTGTCCTCAGCTTCAGGGGCCTTGTCCTCAGCGTGAGGAACTTGTCCACAGCGTGAAGAACCTTGTCCTCAGCGTGATGAACCTTGTCCTCAGCGTGAGGAACCTTGTCCTCAGCGTGAGGAACCTTGTCCTCAGCGTGAGGAACCTTGTCCTCAGGGTGAAAAACCTAGTCCTCAGTGTGAGGTACCTTGTCCTCTGTGTGAGGTACATTGTTTGAGGGACCTTGTCCTCACCGTGAGGAACCTTCTCTTCAGCGTGAGGAACCTTGTCCACAGCGTCAGGAACCTTATCCTCACCGCCAGGAACCTTGTCCTCAGGGTGAGGGACGTTGTCCTCAGTGTGAGCTACCTTGTCCTCAATGTGAGTACTTTGTTCTCAGTTTGAGGAACCTTGTCCTCAGGGTGAGGTAACTTGCCCTCAGCGTGAGTAACCTTGCCCTAACCGTGAGGAACATTGTCCTCAGTGTGAGGAACCTTGTCCTCAGTGTGAGGTACCATGTCCTCAGC